ATTTGCATTTAATTTTTGTGTTATTTAGCCAACTCTACAAGAATTTGATTTGGGGACAGAAACAAAAGTAAACATTGCTCCTAAGTCAACATAGATCCCATATGCTACAGGGCATTTCAATGCTAAGCAAGACACAGCTTTGACGGGTTAGGGAATGACATTTATTTGGGTTTAATGTTGAGTAAACTGTTATTTATAGCAGGCCTTTGACAAAAAAATTCCTCCTTCCTTCTCTCTCAGGAGAAAAGAAAGAGTCATTTCTATTTCCTCATTGCACATTGTAGGAGGTTAGTGCAGAGCTAGCAAATCTTACAAGCAATAAAGCAGTCTCATTCTACAGTCACCTTCTACGTACGTACAAGGGGAGGCCTTGTAACTACTGAATGGGTATACCATAACAGCATCTTACTGCCTATAGGAAACTCAAGCAATCTCTTGTTCTGCCTTCTGTGGGTGGAAATTTGCATTGGATCCCCACTGTACAGGGATAATAGAACTTTTGTGAGATCTGTTTCAAGTATGATTCTAGACATACCTCCTCAGAGATATGTCCCAAGCTATACATGTGTATCTCTTGGAGAGGGTACCTAGGGCAAGATGGTTTAATTTCGATGACTTCATTGCCCAATATTTGTTTTTGTTTTTGCTTTTCAATTTCCCCATTTGCTTTGATAATTTTCCTTGCTGGAACTTTGAGTTTATTACTATTAACACACTGATTTTCCTCTAGTGCAACACTTAGTATAATAACAGATGCTGTAGAAATGTTTGTTTCTGTTGTTGCAATATATCATAAATATATTTCTATATTCTATATCTACGTTATCTTTTAAATCTATGTAGTCATTAAAACTAATTGCTTGAATCATCGTGCCCTTTTTGCCTCTTCAAAATGATTTGCCTGGCACAGTTTCATATCAATTAAATAAGAGACACAAAATCTCTTCTTTGCTGTTAAGTTCTACTCTGTTACTAAGGAAGTGAATGGTTTCCAAGGAAATCACATTATAGCATAACGTTCAGGTTTGCATAGAAGTATAATAATTACAAAGCCAAAATGTATATGCAGTAATAGGAAATGCATTTGAATGGGTTTAGCCTGAAAAAAAATGAACATTGAAACTGCAGCAATAAATAAATACATTAAATAAAGAGGGCATGCTAATTGTACATGGAAAGCAACTTGTGTCTTCAATATTTGGAAGCCACGTCTGAACCTCGTATAACATCGGAAAGTTATCTTCCTTTTAAAAAAAAAATTAGTTTGTATTAGTTTTTTATCATTGTAATTGTGATTTTTAATAAAATTACTATTAAAAAAAAGGAAAACATGTCCAAACGGCTATTGTGTTTCCAAAAGACAACCATAAATTTGCCTTCAATACTAGAGTTAGTAAATAGGGATCAAGTCCAAACCATTTAAAACAATGTTGCTTATGTTTGTTTATTTCAACATTATCTGAAGTTGACAATAATTGCAACACGATTTTTAAGCAACTTGAATAGCTAAAAAGGAAGCTTGCCTGAGAGGCAGTTAAAATATTATCTGTCTGCACACAAAAAAAATGCTTGTTGGAAATATATGTGAAACTTACTGGGAGAGTTCTAATCCCATAGGATGAGTAATGAGTTATAATACGATTTGTCCCTTATGGATATATGTCATTTCTGAATGACAAAATAGCAATCAAAAGTGTTGAAGATACCCTTCATTTCCTAAACCACTAACATTTGGTTCTTCAGAGTCCAGGATAAGCTAAGGACTGTTATGGTACTTACTTGTGCACTGGGCTTGGATACAGGGCACCATGTTTAACTCTCATTACACTGAGATAATACTGATACTCAGATTGAGCTTCTTCAGAAGACTGTGTTGACAAGGTTGAGACAGACAGACATATATCATACACAGAATAATGGTACTAGCACATATGAGTCAAGCTCATAAGTAAAGTTACACAATAATTTCATACCTCGTAAGACAGTAAACTCTGTTGACTAACAATAATAGAGTTGTAGTCTCAAACATCTGAGCAGCATCCAATTAGGGAAAGCTATCTTAAATGGTGTGGTTGGGTGTGCTAAGCCACGATGTGTTTGGGGTTTAGTGTAGCGGGCATTGTGATTTGTAACTATGCGTATGGTTCAGCATTATTATGTGAATCCAACTGCTGTAGTTCATTCAATATGCAATGGCTGAAAGGAACCATGGCTTAATGTTTGAAGCCAGTCAATATGCCAACTTAGTAAACAAAACAAAACCAAACAGAATAACCTCGCATTTGGTTATCTGCAGCTACATATGGGCAAGTCCCCTGCAAATAGCCTTAGGCGTGAAAGCCGTAGGCATGAAAGCGGGCTGGGTGACTTTGGGGCAGTCACTCTCAGCCCCTCACCTCACAGGATTGTTGTTGTGGGGAAAATAGGAGGAGGAAAGAGTATTAGGTACGTTCGCTGCCTTGAGCTATTTATGAAAATAATAAAGGCGGGATAAAAAAATCTAAAATTAAAAAGCCCTCAGTGCCTAAGGAAAAAAAAATGCTCGGTTGCTATTTTGTTTAAGATAGAGCCTTTGATTGTAATTACAGGCTGCTGCAGTTTCCACTGCTCTCACTCATTCTTATTGGTGAATTCACTGTAGATTTTATTTTTGAGTCATCGCACCCTACTACATCCTGTGCTTTCTGATTAAGATCACTACTATGTAAGTGGCTCTTTTCTCTTAGCTTCAACAAAATGATTTCCTGTGCAGCCCATAGGTAGAGCAAAAGCAAATACAATCCTCTAGTACAACTAGCTTTGTCAACTGCCTTTTAAGCTTTTTTAAAGCAAATTCTTACCTAGAGTTCCATTCTGGTTCTTGAAACCCAAGTTCTGTTGCCTGGACCCAAATAACATGTAGACATGGCAGAAATACATTTACCCAGAAGATATTCACCAATTCAAACAGGATTAAGTGCCAAGTAGAATGTAAGTCTTGAACTGCTCATACTCACCTCCTACATGTCACACATGGTTTTCAAAATTCATTTATTACACATGCACTAAAGGGTTTGCTCTGTGAAATATGTAAACCTGTGGTCTTCATTCTGTTCATGGTTTAGGTCTCCAATATTTTCGAGAATTAGATACAAGACTAGGCTAGTTTTAATGTTCAAAATAGGCATATTTGTGCCCATTCAAGCCAGTAGGCTAGTACATCCAACTCTACATCTAAATGGACTACAGTATCAGAAGCAGTAAGGAATCTGTAGCTTACTAAATGTTTAAGTTTCCTAATATCTCTACTAGCTATGTTGGGCAAAGCTGATAGAACTAGTCTTGATATCAAAAAATCACACGCTTCCCAGATTAGATCGGTTGCTGCACGGAACCAATTTTATGAGGTAAAATCACAATTTATAACCTACATCAAACCATAAATATCAGGCAAGTAGGAAAACAGCTTAGTAGAAGAATCAAGCAAAACAGTCTAATTGTGGTAGATCTGAGTAATGCCATTTGACAGAATTCTACTTTAAAAATAGTAAGTCTGCCATTGATACCTTACTGCACTGATACTGAACATAGCCTTCTTTGAATATAATTTAAAAAATATAAATCATGCTTTCCTTCAGGTACATTCAACAGAACCTTCAGCAGTCCCTGCCACGACCAATACCCACCTCTGGATCCAATAACCCATTATCGGTGGAGAATCCTTAAAGTTTAACATCATGTGTGCGCACATCACAGAAAATGCCATAGAATTCCATTGCTTTTAACATGGGCGGTTCCTCCCAGTGCTCCGATATACTCCCTGCGCTAGACTCCTACCGTAGCATACAAATGAGTCGTACTAGTAAAACAAGCACTGACTGATTTGGACTTTGGAACTTCAGATCCACTGGCACTAAGGTGTGTTTTTCTAGAGAACAATAAAGCATTTCTTTTTTTCAAAAAAGAAAAAAACAAAGCTTGGTTCTAGTGTCAAATTGATGTAAGAATTCCAGGATTATTCCATGTTAGCATTTAATTCCACATTAGCACTGGCACTTATAATTCTTCGTTAGGTAATATTATCCAAAAGAACAGATAGCATAGCAAAGCAATCCAGGTTTTAAAACATTTTATTTGCATATTAAAAAAATTGTGCATTCCAATAATTAAAATTATTTGAACAAAAAAATGGCACTCGATTAAAATGCATTTTACAGCTCGCAGGACCCTGGTACAGCTTTGCGTATATTCGTGTGTTATTAGATTACTGTAGTCCCTCCTAGAATCTTCTTTCAAGAAACATGCAAGCTTTCGTGCCACCGGACCAGAAGCTGGACAGGCAGATGGAAAGGAAAGCGCCTTCGTTCAGCATCAGTAGTTTGCTCTGTTCTTTCTTTTTTTTTTTTTGGATGTGAAAGGGGCAGTACAGTCATTTAAACTTTATCCAACTCTTTGCATCTTACAAAGTTAAAACAGCTAAAAGAAGTAAAATAAGAAGGCAATGCTTGTGGAATGTACAGTGCATAATTTGGAAGGGCCCATTTCATTACGATTCACCCGCTTGCTTCTCCTGTTCAATTGCTACAAAATGAAAAGGGAGGATGGGTGGGGAAGGGGAAAGAACAAAAAGAAAAAAATTAAATGTGAATTACACAATAAGCATCCAAAATGCAAATTTTAAAATGCCAATGTGTTAAAATTTGGACTTTGCTACATAAGGAGTTTTATATATATATATATATATATATGTGCATGAAATTAAATATATGTATGGAAATGCATACTATTTGTTAATGAAACCCCCAGCAATATTAAGAAATTGATAAGAAAAAGCATACAGAAGGATGGTCTGACTTCTTTGTCTCTGTGGCCCACGCCCTCTTTTCTAAGATTTCACCTACTTTCTTTTGAAGGCAGTGGGTTTTTCTCTTGCGTTTCTGTCTTCTTCAACTTAGACTTGTCGAATTTCTCAATTTCAGCCATATCTGGTTTGTCAGACATAATTGCTGATTGATCTGTGTACAAAAGGACAAAAAACCCAGTGTTATAGCACACCACCCTTCCTTCCCTTCTCCAGAGAAAGTTCCTTCATATCAGGCCAGCCCTTTCAGCTTCTGCATATTGTTTAATGCTGCATAATAGCCCTTATTTTAAAACCCTATCTTCTATCTTTAACGTGTATTCAGGATGACAGATTCATCTATCTCCTGCGCCCGGGGGGGGGGGGGATCTAAGCGATCGCTGCACGCCCACATGGCAGGGTTTCTGACGAAGCAGTCGGGGGGGGAGGGCGGAGTGATGCATTCGATTAAAAAAAGCGTTAGAAGTGAAAATCATGCTAGAAATATAAACTAATCTGCTTTCTCCCGTTCAACAAACCGAACCTCATCGCTGGGAGAGGGCGTGGCCGCACAGCCATCTCCCCGTCTCTCTCCAGCCAGCCTATGCACGCGCGGCGATTAGAGGAAATCAAATAAAGGCTAATTTCTTCCGAGGACGCCAAAGCGGTTCGACGCCCAAGGGGAGTCCAGACGAGGCTCCCCAGCGCCGCCGAGCACATCCTCCATCTTGGGCGTCTGGCTCCGCGGTTCGGTCGGCGGGCGCCCTGCATTCTTCACAAAGAGAAGCCCCAAC